ATGAGAAGCACTCATTGCTGTGGTGTTTTTGCTTATAACAATGGTCACTATCCTGTTGATGTAATGATAGTTTTCTGTAGGTGTCGAGAATTCAGTCATAATGGCCTCTAATGCTGACTATCTAACGCCAACTCTGGGCCTGGAAAATGTATCACCTCTTGTGAACCAGATGATTTGACCTGGGAAAGTCCCAATTGACACTGGCTGTAAAGTATCCAACCGGAAACTGAATCCTTGCTGAGTTATATCGGTCAGCTGCAGAACAGACATTTATTTATCAGTAAATGGTGTAGATCATTACCTAAATCTTACACTCCCTCATTCTTTTTCATGGGCATACACTGTATAAATACATAGACAGAAAGGGCCTGGAAATGGGATGAAGTGAAGTGAAACAAAGAAAGCAAGAGAGAGGAGATAGAGTTAGAAGAGAGAGTGTGTGAGAGAGAGGAGAGAAAACGGTGGAGAGTAAATCCTCTTTCCCTGCTGAGTTTAATCTCTCCACGGGCTGAGCCTGGCAGTTCAGGCCTTACAGCAGCCGTCGGTCGAGACAAGTGACAACCAGCAGGGCCACAGGTGGGGGATGGGGACGGCCGGACCTTGTGTCATGTCCGCTCGACTGTAGTGTGTTTTTGTGTCCGTCTATGAAACATGTTAAGCATTTTAAAGAGGAAGTGACCTTCAGGGATGGATGGAGAGAGTAGGACGAGAGAGAGAAAAGTGTAGGACGAGAGAAAGAAAAGACTGACGGACAGAATTTTTTGTAAGTTACTGTGTAATGTGAAACATTCAAAAAGCTGACTGGAGGAAGAAAAATGATGAAACTGTTTTATTTTTTTATTTTTTTTTTTTACTTTTCACCAGTAAGAGATCTAGATCAGAGGTCTGTGATAGGCTCAAATAATACTATATGCATCGTTTACAGGACAGTGGGGGTGCTTTGAGCGTTTTAACTAGTACTTTCAGCTAGTTTTTTGCTCGTCTGTGGATGGCAGCATTTGTCGGTCGGTCCACCACTTGTCCAAATGAAAATGTCTTAACAGATTAGATAGATTAGATAGATTGAAATGTGATACTGAAATTCATGTTACCCTCAGGATGAATCATAAAGACTTTGGTCCCAAAGTCTCAAATTAGCATTAGTTAACATGTCAGCATGCCTAACAAAGATAGTGAGTGTGGCAAACATTATACCTGCTAAACATCAGTATTATCATTTTCATTTTGGGCATGTTAGCATAGCATGCTGATTTAAGCATTTAGCTCAAATTACTGCTGTGCCTGTGTACAGCCTCAAAGAGCAGCTAGCATGGCAGTAGACTCTTATAGTGTGTCCCAAAACTATACATACTAATTCTATACAGTATGTACTACATACAGTCCTTTTAATGTACTGTTTTGGATTTTAGTGTACAAGAATACATACATTTTGTAAGGCAACCTTGTAATGTCATTGCTAGTTGAATTTTCCCTGTAGTTCCTTCACAAACATCCATAATTTGTTTAAATGTCTTCAAGCTGTGAGCATCTGCTCTATTTCCTCTGTGCATTGCATTGTGGGAGAATAGTGTCCATCAGCAGCACACTGAAAAGTCAAGGGCTTTTTAGTATCCATACTGACTGTTTTCAATATACTTAATACACTGTATTCTCAGAACCTGCTCAGGTTTAGTTTATAGTACGGATTTAGGACCACACTTATGTCTTGTTATAACAGCAAATGGATCTGATTTGTGAGTAAAACTGATCAGATGTTTGTCAGTCCAACAAGTTTGAAGTCTGTGCTTAAATGTTATATACACAACATTCACTTGCCACTGACAGGCTCAGATTGTGTCTGTGTCTGTATTATGAAAGGATCCCTACAGAGATAAACATTTTGTTTAACCAGAAACAGCCTTAATATTGCTATACATACATGCATACTCCAGAGACAAAGTCTCAGGTCGCATATCTCTGTGACATCATAACTTCATACAAAATGGACAGAAACAAAACAAAACTCACCAAATCTCTCACTGTTCCAACAATCACCAATTCTGGGTTAGTCAAAATAAACTGTATATGTAATGTAAATGACTAAAACAGCAGTTTCAGTTGCTCAACTCAGCTGCACACGGAGCAGACCGACTATGTAAACACACCACAGAGAGGCTGCGATAGCAACACACACAAAGCAAATAGTTGTTTGCTGCTATATTAATGTTTTAAATCTCTTATATATAACATTTAACTGCAAGTAAACTGGTATTAAATGGGTGTCCAGTGCTGTGAATCTATGGTTTACCAGCCAAAGCTTAATCTAAAGTGAGACTGATATAGTTAGTGACAGAGATGGAGAACTAAATAGTGACAGAGATGGAGGGAGAGTTCCCTCCTGAAAACTAAATAGCCTCACAAACAGCACCCAAAATAGATGTCGTGTATGGTAAATGCTGAATAGAAAATAAGATAAATGTTCAGAACATTTAGTTAATGCAAAATGAATACAGTTTGAAAAAAGCTGAGTAGGAATGTTGATCATTGAGAATGAGTGACAGAGTCAATATTAGAGGAAATGAGAAGACGAAGCTGTGCTGTGTGTGTGTGTTAACAGGAAGCAGCTCCGCTACAGAGAGATAAGCAATCAGGGACTGATCAATAACACAGCAAAACATTAAACTGGGAAGATGAATGTGGTGAGGAACAACAGGAAGAGGGGACAGAGCATGTTTCAGTTCAGTCATTGTTGCTTTGTGTTAAAGGTTTGTAAATGTGACAATATTCATTTTGGTACATGAAGATAGCAGAGTTTTTATACTGTTGCCATTGACAACACAACCACGGCAACGCTGTCAACAAGTGGGCATGATACAAGCATGGCAGTGGGCATGATTAGTCTTGGTGTGTTGCCATTTTGAAACTTCCTACCCATTTTCTAAAATGGAGCAGAGAGATTCGTTAATAACCTGAATAAAACAACGCACTGTGTTCAGACAGAGTGTGCAAAAACGAAAATGATTGAAGCTTCAAAAATCTTTTCATCTCCACTCTTTCTTTCAACTTAAAAAAGTCACCCTAACCCCAAAGGAACTGTTTCTTGTCCTGCCTAAAATGTGGTGGATTTCTGTTCAGTGCATCTGCGTTTTTCCTTCCCAGTTTTTCTCTTTTATAACATTAAGCCTCGTCTCCTCTGTATGGTTCACCTGTAATGTAGCTGATCTATGAACTGAATCTCATTCTGCTGTTGCACTCATTGTACAGAGCTCTGGATTACAGCGTCAGCCAAATGGCTAAAATATAAAATGTCAACATAAATATTTCAAAGTGCAACTGTGTACCAGACATAGCAGACAAAAACACACACACACACAGAGAGAGAGAGAGAGCATGAAAGAAGGAGAGAAGCACTTTGAAAAGGCTGTTTTTTTTCCTACCATCTCTTCTCTTCCCGGCACATGTTCAATTATTAACCGCCCTGACGACTCTGTTGGGATGGAGGCAGACACAGACAGAGAGAAGGTGGGGCAGAACATGGAGATACTTTATCAAACATCCAGCTGTGACTTTAACTGACCTTGTGTCTAATCACCTCAGAGACCGTCTGACGGGGACTGACTGATTGATGCCTTGCACTCGAGCTAAAAACAAACTTTTTTGGTCTCAAAATCTGGTACATCATCAAAATTCCCCAGGTGTTTTTGCTATTTTACCAAAAAGCCAGGGTTTTACAGTGTGATAGGAAGACTAAATGGTCATTAATGGCTTTTTAAAACCAGCAACTTGTGTTTTCGTAGCGCAAGAATGTTCCATTGAATCAATGGTTTTGGAGATATTAAGCTTTCACAGATTGATAAAAGTCTCTTCCGGTGGCAACAGCGCCTGATTAGGTCCAAAAGTCAGTGGTCCCTCTGTCCCATAGCAACATTGTATATTGCAGTAGATTAGATTGCATAAAGCTTTAATGATCCCCGAGCTGAAAGCTGCTGGGTGGTTGAATTTATATCAGCGACAAGCCACTTTAGAACAAAAAGTGTTAAATTTGATTTGTGCAATAGAAACAGAAACGCATCAGACACACAAATGAGACTTGATTGGACCAGATCAGATTATTTGACTCATTAAAGGCTTAATTCTCCTCAGTCTTTGTCTCCTCCATCCCAACCAGAAGCAGCAGCATGTAGCTCTGTCAGCCTGCAGAGTTACAGCCACATACATTTTTCATGGATCATACCTCCAGCTCTACTGTGTGTGGCTATATGAAATACTGTCTGGCAGCGCGTCAGAGGAACAAAAATAGACCCTTGTCTCTGTCCTGATACTTTTTCTTCAAACCATTAGAGTGATGGAGCACCTCCCTCGTTCATCTCGATTCACTGTTGATGCCTGAGGAGGAAATTCAGGGTCAACAGGGTGGAGGTTTGGACTCAGGGTGTGTGTTGCAGACGTTTGTCTGGTGGACAGTATTTTTGTGGGTGTACGTGCACACGGTTGGTTGCATGCTTGGCTGGGGCTGTAAACAAAAGCAGAACCTCTTTACCAACAGTATTTTAAACAATAAATTATGCATCCTTTGTGCTTATGCAAGAATTTTGCCTTTCATTTTGGCTCAGTCAACAACTCAGGTGCCCTTTTTTATCTCAAAATCTAAAATCACATTTCTTGTGCCGATGGTCTTTTTCTGTGCTGCTGACAGTGACTGAGCATGTATGACAAAAGCTTTCACACCTGAATATCGAATGGCGTAGTTTGCATTGACTTTTTCAGGAACCTTTAAAGGAACTCAGAGAACTTTACTGGCATTGAGCTGTAATTCCTGCTCTGAGTGTTACCTTCAGGGTTCAGAAAGGGGTCAAGCTCTTCACTGTTTTGCTGAAGGACACGTTGACAATAGCTCCTCATAAGAGTGATTGAGCCTTTGACCCTGCTGTTATAGAACAACCTCTTTTCTCTGACACTTATTATGTTATAGTATTATTGGTGTACTAACCTCTCTCTCCCTCTCTCTCTCCCTCCCAGTACTTCTTGTTTGAGGTTAAAGTTCAACAGTCATCATGGCGGACGAATCAGACATGCGCAATGAGCTGGCCGACCTCCAGACACGTGCAGACCAGATAGCTGATGAGGTACAGTAGAAGACACACATACAGATTTGTGTACACCTGGATGAACATGCTTACATATTGACACACACAAACACTAATGTTATCTACTCTGGTGTTAAAAAAAAACAACAATAAATCACAAATCCCTTTTTTTTCAAGTAAATGCAATCTACATCACAGTATTTCTGTCGGGATACAAAATTTGTCATTTTGTCTGCAACTCACAGAAGGTTGTACAGTCGAATGATTCCATATGATCTGGTGTCACCTGCTGAAGTGGCTGCTAGAGTATATAAATAATGTATAAGATTTATTAAGTATTGTGTACCTTGATTACATTTATCACATGTATCAAATCCTATGATAATATCCTCAGATATTGTTTGTACTGTACACTGTTTAAGTTACAGTTCATTTTCATTATTAGTCTCACTAATATTATGAAGATTTTATTTATTTTATTTGCTAACCCAGTTTAGGAAATCTAGTAAGTGGGTTGTAAACCAGATATTTGTGAACATTTGCACATCTAAAAACACACTCATTGAGCACAAAAAAGTTGAGGACTTTTTTTTGTGTGCAAAACTTACAGTATACAGTCAGACCTGACTTTTAGTCTGTGGCATGACAATTATAATGTGACATTTCAAAATGACCTGCTCTCATAAGGACACAAATGTATCTGCAAAAGCCTCCAGGCTGACAGACACAGCTGCTTTAATGTGACCCTCCCTTGTTTTAGCGGTTTGTTCTCTAAGTCTCGTTCATCAAGACTGTGCTTTTTTGGGGTAGGAGAGAACGTTGCCCTTTTTAATGAGTTGAGAGGAGCTCAGGAAGAGCAGATAATTCTGTGCAGCAGAATAATAGAGCAGCTCAAATGGCCTTATTAAACATTTATGAGGAGATAATGCAAGACCAAGAGGCTCCATGGATGTGATGGGTGGGAAGGCAGGGATGGATGGAAGGAGGGAAAAACAGAGTGGCAAAGGAGCAGCAGGAGATGAGGAGATAAGGGATGAAAGAGTGAAATGAGGATTTGGAATGAAAAATGGAAGAGATTTGCAGGGGATCAGGCAGTGGGTAAAAAGTTAACAAACAAAAGGTAGAAATCAGATAATTAATCCTGGGATGAGAGGAGAGGAAGAATAATCAAGGCTAATTATATGACTTGGCTGTCTACACATTTGAATATAGCACATCAGTGTTTTTTTTACTCTCCTGTGTTCACCCTACAAATATGTTTTTTAAACACTTAACATTCTATCTTAACACAACGCAATGTTTTTTTTCCGATATCTACAGTTACAGGTGATGTGCTGTATGTCTGTATTCGCTCTCTTAAGGACTCTCAGCTAATCACCCGCTCTCTCTTTCTCTCCCTGCAGTCTCTGGAGAGCACTCGGCGTATGCTGGCTCTGGTCGAGGAGGTGAGTCCAATGACACATGTGACATGACTAGCCACAACAGACAGGGAACAGGCCCACTTATGTGATTACACACAGAGACCATTTGTCTTGGTGTTTTTATTTGTTTACATTTACCAATAATTGTGATGGAGATATAGCCTAGGTTGGGCTGTAGACAATACAGAGCGTTCACTTGGGAGCAGCCCCTATGCATTGTCAACCTCAACACTGTTAAAGAGGAGGGACTTGAGCGTTTCATCCACAAACTGAGTGTCTCACCTGATTCAGTAACAGGTGAAATCAGCTTTAATCAGCAGGGAAGCAGGTGAATGAGTTTATTGTGCTTCATCCTAACCAAACAACTCCCAGAGTAGAGTAAGTCAGCTGAAGGAAAACCAAAGTAAACTTCAGTTTACAGCAAACAAGAATGGCACAGACAGCATGCATGATAGCAATAATATTACAGTACATTTTCTTTAAATCCACTTGATAAACCATTACATAGATAAACTGTCCACACAGGGAAAAAAACAATACTATTCTTCTATATTGATATACAGTGGTGTAATGTGGGCAGAAATCACCTTCCTGTGATCCAGTGACCATCTGTAAAAACATGATAGAAACAGCCAGGTGTCTCTACTGGGTTCGTAGGGTTCTCACTTCACCACTTAAAATTATGTTTTGCATTGTGGAGGAAGAGCTCTACAGAGACACGACGAAGAGGACCTTGCTACACGTGATGCTCTCCCACAGGCTAAGATGTTCTTCGTGTGGATCCACATACAGCAGTTGTGACTACCACAGTGTCTGGAGACCATTTGCTTCTTCCAGGCTCACATACAGGGCTGCTGAACTGTAGCTTGTTTCTTCCTCTTAGTTGGTATTTCAGGTATTTGAGGCAGGACAGTGTATCAGTATGTCAGGAAAAGGTTTGTTTTAAGCTTGTTGTGCTGTTTCTACTGGAATTAGATTATGTGTTGGGAGTGTGTAGAGTGTGTGCCGGGCCTCTAGTTTTTGCTACTGGCTTCACAGACATAGCCCTGCTTTTACCCGTGGACCAGCCACCATGTCTTAATGAGACATTGCTGCGAGGGACAGAACAAGACCTGAGGCTGACCTAAACACTGACCCACTTGACAGACAAGCCTTTCCACTGGCAGTAGCTGAGTATGTGACCTTTGAAGTTAATGCCAAGGGAATGCCATTTGTTCGATCCAACCACTAGTGTCTGATTTGAAAATGTCCTGTGGTTTGTTAGCACAGAGTGTGTTTCCTTGTGACTCTTCCAGACGGTAGTTCTTGAGTTGAAACCAGTGAAAGACTCAGAGACTCAAACAGTGACTGTGTCATGTTTTGGCTTCTCTTCTCCTCTCTTGCTGACAAGATGCTCTTTATCCCTCTCACTTAGCATCTCTCCAGAGAAATAGGCTCAATATAGACTGCAATAAAGCAGTAAGGCAGCATGGATTATGAATGAGACTCAATATGCCTCTTCATATAATGTATCAGTGTTACCAGAAATAAAACCAAGTCAGTCATATTTATGTTTTTTTCATTATTCGGTGAACTGATTCTGTTTTTGATCCTTCAGTGCACCTTTCCTTCCAGTAAATTGTAAGCATGTGCTAATATATTCCATGACCTCTGTGTTAAAAGGGCTTATAGTGTGCTTACACTAATTGAATAAGTGAAAAGTGGTCAGAGCAGCGAGCGCACTCGTCCAGTGATCTCTCTGCGATCCGTGCAGTGATATCTGCTTGTTTAGATCTGACAGTGAACTAAAACCATGTCAGATAACACAGAGTTTCTGATCTGAAATATTAAAGGACAGTGATGGTGTTTAGTTTAATGCAACCCACAAACAAACTATGGTTTGATACCACTTTAACTCGGAGCATAACTCAATAAAATCATCTTTATGATGTTTCTCTAATAATATCACTGATTTCACTTGAATACTACACACTTGGCATTATGTTGTTTTGCTCTTTACCCTCATTACCCTCATTTAGCATAAAACACCTCCTTTTTGTCCTGTTGTTTTAGTGGCAGTTACACATTTACACTTTATCAGTAATGAGTTTAAGTTGTGAAAAAATATCCATCTTTAGTACTACAATAATAATTCTACAAACATTCATAAAATATCTTTTTTATTCAAAAAAACATAACAGACAAAAGTAAAAGATGGGTAAAATATCCTTATAGAGTAAATCCAACCTTTCCCTCTTTAATCCTTCTCTCCACTTCTAGAACTTGTCTCTTACATGATCCTTTAAGGATCACACTCACACTGTTACTGCACTGCAGCTGTGACTCTCACCCTCTTTACTCTCTGTTTGTTATTATGCTGATGATCCAGAAATAAAAGCTTATTCTTCTTTTGTACTCAGTTAGTCGCGCTGGTTGAACTCATCAGCCTAATACCTATACGTAATATTCAAGAAAGACCTGTATCATAATATCATTATGCATGGATTCTGATTTGAAATGCATGAGAGAGAGAGCATCAGAGAGAAATCAATTTATATGAAATGCAAATTTACAAGGTAAATCTGAATACACCTACATGCAACAAAAACAAATGGTTTGTTTTAGTTTGATGTTTAGAGTGGTGATGGTGATACTGTCACTGTGGTTCTATTGTATTAAGTATTATAACACAACAGGTTTTTGTTATAATTTTAATATTTTTTACTGTGCAATAGACAGTGTCTTCTAATGTACTCTTCTTTTACAGTATGTACAGTACACATGTATTACTGTAGTAAGTGATGTATAAATGCCATAAAACACGTTCTTTCCCAGAAACATTAATCTTTTATCACAATAATGTCCGTAAACAAAACAACTGTATAATGCTGTCAGTTAGTTGTCTGACTGAAGAAACACTCACAGTGAGTGATGTAATGTGTCCTTGTCACATGCAAATGTGACCCATAATTCATTTTCTGGACCGGTGTGCGACATGACCTTTAATTTGTAAGATAGCAGGAAATATGGGCTTGTCTCTCCGACCATCAGCTGACGGACATGTTTGCTGTGGTACTTCCTCACAAATAAACTGAGAGAGTTGAAGTCTGAAGCTACTGGACTGAGAGTGTTGTTAATATTCTGTAAATATGACTGAAGGAAACATGGGCCTATACGATTATTTCTAATGTAAGATGCATTGTGTTACACAGCACAGTACAGTCAGTGGCCTGTGTCTGTGAAATACACTTATTCTGTCTCTTGCAGAGAGTTAAATGAGAAGATTGATACCACTCATACACATAGCTGGAGCCAGCAGACGGTTAGCTTAGCTTAGCACAAACACTGGAAGCAGGGGGAAAACGCTAGCCTGGCTCTGTCTGAGTAACGAAATCCACCTACTGTACCAGTGCCTGTACAGCTAACAGGAAGATATAAGAGTGATATATTGAACTTGTCTTCAAATTAGCATATTTATATATTACATTTTCGTTTAACTTTTATTTTAAGATTTGCTATATACCTTTAAAAAAGAGCAGAAACAGATCCAGTCATTCATGCACAATCAGTGATTATCAGTGTAAATCCCAGTATCTAAAGTGTATCAGCAATGGAGAGATGCGGTGTAATGAATTCTCTTATTGGAGATGAATGAATTTTGTTGTGCAATACATTTGATATATTTTTCAGTTTTATCAAGAAAGATAAGCCTTTTCATAAAAAAATAGATACTGAAGTTCTCATATTAACTGTTATCTTCACACCACGCCTGCCGGGGAAAGAAATGAGAAAATACTTGGTGGCTGAGCAGTTGAGAGTAGGTGAGAGCGGGTGAGAGAGAGGGACATAAAAAATAGAAAGTGAGCCGGAGATGAAGTTAAGAGTGACGAGGAATGAGTTGAGGACAGTGTGAAAGACAAACAGAGGGCTAGAGAGGAGTCTGTGAAGGACATCGAGACCAAATCCAGTGCCTCTGTGGAGCAGAGAAATGGGAGCTCTGATTTGATGAGCAGCATCAGGCCTAAAGTCAGAGAATATATTACACGAGATGGACGTCATACAGGCTGCTACATGACCAGAAACTACAACACTGTCTCCTCTATGAGAAAAATATACATCCTAGTCATTTCAAACCTTGTTTTTCTTTAAAGACAGAAAAACATATATAGTGTTGTATTCAAAGTGGATTTTGGGGTGGGTTTTTAAAGCTTATTTGCTTTCATGCTGAGAATTAGATGAGAAAATTCATAGCACTCTCATGTATGCTCAGTAAATATGAATCTCGCCAGCAGCTGGTTAGCTTAGCTAGGCTTAAAGACTACAAACAGGGGAAATCAACTAGCTTGGCTCAGTCCAAAGGAATCTGTCAACCCACTCCCAAAGTTAACTGACTAACATGTTATATCTTATTGTTTTACATATACGTAAAAAGCGTAAAAAAATAAATAAATAAAGAAATGAACCTAAAATGCATAATACCATAATATATAAAGTATGTGTACTGATACTGTGTCAATGTACATGGATATTTTTCAATCAACTGATCATGTAATTGGTATTTAATTCCAAAAAGTATGACTCCAGTACATTTGTGTTTGTCAAATATCATCTCAGGTCAGGGATGACCAATAGTGGGGCAGCAGGTGGACATGTGGGTCACACTGGTGCAGTTGTCTCAAGATTGACTGAATTAGAATAGATTCCAAGAGGCAGCAGAATGGACATCTCAATGAAAAGTCAATACCAGGCTACTACTATGTCAACATTACAACTCTTGATCTCTTTCTTCATCCGGTTTTTTCCCTACTTTGTACTTCCAAACACCATAGACAAAAACAATGAATTAACCTGCCAGATAATGCTAAAACACACTTCATTCAAACTCGCCAGAAACTAAATAAAACTTAACAAAGCAGTCAGTCTTTCCACTGTTCCAACAACACTCACCAACTCTGATTTGGTCAAAATAAAGAGGGTAGCTGAGAAAAACAGCCGTTTCAGTCGCTATCCTCAAAGCCAACGCTTGCACATGGAGGGACTCATGCATGAGAAATACACAATGCTCGGTGGGGGAGAGGGAGTGTGATGTCATTCGCTGCTCAGAATGCCATTACTCTGCTAAATATTTATGCAGCTATAGTTATACTATATATAGTTCTAGTTAAGGTTTTTTTTGCAATTGTTTTTGATTATACACTAAGCAAAATATACCTATGAATTTTATATTCCATTTCTGCCAATAGATCCTCCTGTGTGTAACACACTGGACCTTTAATTCAGCTCACCTTTAAGACAACATAGGTTTTAGGGCAGAACACAATATTATAAAGAAATCATTAAGCCTACTTCCTACCTTAATGGCTAACTAAATGTGCTTAAAACTCACATAGAAAGGACAAAGAAAGTATGAAATGATATTGAAAATCTGAATCTCTATTAATCTCATGAAAAGTTGTCACCACCTTCCATGTTCATTTCCTGACAGAAAAGTATTTTGGGAGAAACTGCTAAAAAAATTATCAAGTACTTACGGAAGACTCTGTGACTCACTATATCACAGGAAAGTGTGAAAAGAACCTGTGTGTGTGTGTGGTGTTGTGTGTGTGTGTGTGCGTGCTGCGTGCTGTGCATGTGTGTGCAGCGCACACAGGAAGATGTGATCTCACCACATCAGACTATGCCAGTTGGCGTGGTAAGATATCCTGTCCTGTAGTTCAGGAGCCATGACTGCCCTCCCATGTCTTCCCATGATTCCTAGTGGGTAAACAAGCAGTTCTTCAGCTGCGTTTAAGCATATACAGTATATCTGCAAACATTAGCTCTGCTGGTGAGTTTCTGCGCTGATTTGTAGTCATCCAGAGAAACTTTCTGAACAACAGTTTAACATCACACTGGTACAGATCCATGGCCACTGGCAGATGTCTTTCGCAGTCTGTTTGATTGATACTAATATCAGTGGCATGTTTAACAGGCCTCCAGCTCTGCTCTCTATTGCTGCTCCAAGAAGGTCAGAGCACACTTTGATCTAAAATAGCCGATGCATGAACTGAACGGCCTTTAGTCTTAATATCTGTTAGAGGAAGCCTTGGGCTCATGGAGAGCACAAAGCTGTTGTTTTGTTGTGTGCGCAGTGGTTAATGTGGTTATTGTGTGCTCACTAAAGCGTGCTATTATGTGACGGAGCCCATGCGCAGAGAAATAACAGCATATGAGTCTGCATGTTTGGTGTGTGCTTGTGTGTTTGAATGTGTGCCAGCTCTGTAAGCCAAATCAGAATGTTACATTACTGGAGCTTTGTCAACAAATCTGTGGTACCAGCCCAGTGAACATAACAAATATAGCACATGCCATTTGGTGGACGAGTTTATCCCAGGAATCAGTGCAGGATCATGCATAAATACATTTGTGGCGTTTTTCGTGTCTTCTTTAAGGTTTAAAGAGGTTTGCAATTTTGTTTTATGCCTGATTGTCGATTTGTTGATATCTCCATATGAGACATGCTTTTTAATGAACATGATGGTCAGTCCCAAAGGGTTTTCTGACCCCGGCACCACATGGTTTACCCACCTCCCTTGTACTGCTGACACTGTGCAGATAATGGTTACGGGGTTATGCTTGTGTGATTTGAACACATTTGCTTAATTTGTGCAAGTAAAGCTCCAAATGAAGCTGATTTTAGGACACATTCAGGACATCTAAAAGGCTTTTTAAGAATCTTACAATGAGCAGTTTATTCCCTCTGTAGTGTTTTATTTCCATGACTTTGCTGCAACCTTGGGTCAAATATAATAAATTAAATCTTCCTATTTCTTTGTTGACTGATGACTGTTCAAAGGAATAGTTTGAGATTTTGAGGAGAGGATCAATACCGTTCTTATGTGTGTCAATTAAATATGGTGCCAAAACCAGGTGATGCAATTAAATCTGCAAACCAGCACCTTAAAAGCTCACTTATTAACATGTACCTCTCTCTCTCTTTTTTACCCATATGAAAACATTTTATCTTTAAAGCTGCTGGTACTGTAGGAACACACTAGCTGTTTTCCCTGTTTCCAATCTTTATGCTAAACTAGGTAAACGATCCCCTGGCTGTAGCTTTGTACACAAATATGAGAGTGGTAAAGTGAATCAGTTTATTTCCCAGAATATCAAAATATTCTTTTAAAATCAAGCTGTTTCATTTATGCCAGACGAGATCAGTTCACACTCCAAAAAGTGATTTCAAATTGTAATTTTACCCACCTCTCCTGTCCTGATAGCTCTGCTCTGTCCTGTTCTGTTGACCTTCACTGATCTGTCACATTAATTCCTCTTTTTCCCAACCTCTCTTCTTTCCTTTCTTTTTTCATCTCTCTTTCTGTCTGTCTGGCTGTCTGTCTGTCTGTTAGAGTAAAGATGCCGGCATCAGGACTCTGGTCATGTTGGATGAGCAAGGAGGTAAGTTGATAGGGAGAGAACATGAAACACTATCCCTCTAACGTCTGTCTTCACTTTTAATCTGCTCTATTACCAATTCTCTCTATATTAGGCTGCATAATGGGAGAGTCGTCATCATCGGCACGTCCAGTATAACACTGTGGAGTCTCAGTCAAATTTACAACCCTGAAATAACCTTTATGGTTTTATAATTACTGAAGCAAAGGAACAGTTCATTTCTTCCTGAGCTTCTGCAAAGTATTTAAAAGTAACCTCAGCAGTCTGAGCTACTGGGCTAAAATGATTATACTGGATGTGCCTGTTGAGCTAGCCTCCTGCTTTGCCTCCCTATTACTACACTTTTATGCTTACTTCATTTGTTAGACAAATATGTATATATTGCATACAAATGATATGTTAGCTGTATGTTTAATACCTCTAAGCAGTAGAACAAGTACATGAACCACTTTTAAAGAATAAATCAATGCTTTTAACCACGCTGTCAAACATGGTGGCCGTGTTTATATGGGATTCTCCAAGGAACCCTTAACCGATATTTTTTCTGATAAACAACCCAAAGGTGTGTCAACCGGTACTAATTAGCATGTAGGAGAGTATCTGATGGCTTGACTGCAGCCTTCTTCAGTAAAATTACACCTATACTAACTAAGAGATGAGATAAATTGCTCTGAATATTTTTGAAAGGCTGTAGCGCCTGACACTGTGAGCTGTGACTGTGTGGCAGGAGCAGATACACATGAGCAGAGTGGGACAAAAGCTGCTAAGTTTGCCTGTTTGATGCTGTCATTTCAAAGTCCTCTTTTATTTTTGAAAATCTTGGTCAGAGTGACATAGGTCACAGATTTGATCCACACAGCAGTCAAAGTAAAGTGTGGAGTTTTGTGGATGCATGTGTAGATTCAAGAGCCATGTATTGTGTGTAGGGGAGCATCTAGTCATAGTACGTGTGGTGGATGTGTGTGTAAGTATATTACCAAAGGCTTGTGCTCAGCTCTATGCGTGAAAGAGCAGCCTAATTGGCCTGTCACAGGAACATATAGCCCCCCCCTCCTCCTGTCTTCTTCCCCCCTCGGAGTAACGGCTGCCACAGTGCACAGCTCACTGCTGTTAGCACAGGACAGCAATCAATTCACAGATTTAAATTACCTCTGCCTCTCAGCAAATGTCCTCTTAACCTGATCCCCCATCTGTCTCTCGCTCTCTGTCTTCCTCTTCTTCTCTTCTTTTCTCTGCGCTCCTTCTCTTCTTTCCAAACAGCCCCTGCTTCCATTCCCTTCAATTTTCTTTCCTGACCTCTACATTCTTCCTCTCCTGTTCTCTTGCCTGGAGATTACTTTGGTTACAATAATGATGGAGCTCTTTCTTGTCTCTTTTCACTTTCCCTATACCTCCTTCCAGTTAACAATGGCTACTGACCTACACACGCCTCCGCTGTAGCAGGCTCTGACATATTTTCTGACATATGTTTTTACGTCAATAATTCCCTCTTATATTGCCAAAGAAAAAGAAAAAAGGCTTATAAGTAATAGCTTTCCAAGCGTGTGGTAATTAAAACACTCCTGTTGAGCTGTAAACTAGGGGAAATTAATCCCTTTGCTCTTTACACATGCACATGCACACACACACACACACACACACACAGGCCTTACATAGGGGGAGATTTGTCATTTATTGCAGGGATGTATTGCCTGTGGTGGAGGTCTCACTGCAGCTAATGAGTCCCTCCCTGCTTGGCTGTTACATGCATCTTGACCCGAATTACACCTCAGTCAAAGCTGATGGATTGCAGCTCTGCCTCAGTGAGCCCACACCACTAGCAACTCAATGTCTTAGCTCCAAGCACAAAACAGTAGTTTGATAGCTCTTACAGGCTGAAAATGCACAAGGAGTGTGATTGGTTTTTGTTCAGAATGATGAATCTTAATCACCTTAAGCTGATAACTGGAAAATAACAGTTTTCCCATCTTTTTATTCACCACTTCACTATTGGACCATTACGGCTTCTGTCAGTGACTCCTCTTTTTCTGTTGGATCATTGCTCAACACTGACAATCAAAAAATACAAACACAATAAACTAACTACTCTGAATATTATCCAGGTACTCACTCATCAGTGTTTTATTTTTCATCTCCCCACACTAAGTAAATCGAATTTAAGAGGTGGAACGTACATTTTGAAAGCTATCCTCAGTGTTACTGTTACTGAGTGTTAGAAACACAGGACTTTCCTGTATAATGTTTGTCTGTCGTTTTGGCTGCTAAACAATTCAAAAGGCTTCATTGAAAACAAAACATGCTGTGATAGTTGCTGATTTAATCCAAAATTGACACAAATTAATGTAAGGTGCAGGTTGTGTTTTCAGTTTTCTCGACATTGTAATCTTTAGCTTTCTCCCACTTTAGGGGCAGCATGTTCCTTTATTTCATTGGTTTTTGTCACCTGTGTTTCTGTCATAGTATATCAAATAGAAATATAGTTATAATATGATAGAGATCTGATAGACCTTTGTCACAGAAAATATCTTGATATATCACTGTATCAAAAGCATGGGTTTTATGATGGCTGAATTCCATTTAGTTGCTTAACTTTCTCCTGATCACGTGCCTGTCACACTGTCAGACTGACATGGCTTACTGGGACACTTTAGAGAACATTTTTAATAGAACAGAAGCATTATTAATGTTATTAGTAACACCTGTGCTTTTCATACAGTGACATGTCAGTCTGCCATGAAAAGGCCTATTGTACGGATTCCTCATTGATTTGATTTATTCTGCTTTCTAATTGGTTAAAGCTGTGACTGACTATGGGAGAGGAGGGAATGCCCTCACACTATAATCCTTCAGACGGATGGGAGGAGGCAGGTTAAGTCTGGCCTGGCTGTCCATGGCTGAGGAGATAAACAATGCCTCTCTCTCACACACGTTCCTCCTCTTCTCAATCCCTCGCTTTGCCTGGGATTACTGCTGGAGGCCATTTAGTTGTCGTGTGTAGCATTTTGTTTGTTACGTCCACTTACACGCAGTCGTAGATTTCTACTAGTTAGCTGACTTAACTTCCTCTTAATCATTTCTACTGATTCTTTCTCCTTAGCTTTCAAGATCCTTTCTTCTGTTTGAAGAGTGTGTTCCTGTTATTTTGCACTCTCTGGCTTTAGAGAGAATATACATTAGTCAGTATATTACAAGTTTGTTCTGTGTCTGTGTTTAATGGGATGACAGAACATATTGACACTGCCAACTTATATTTTGGGGAGTGGCAACCCATCCTGTGGCTATAAATGCTTCAGCTTTCAGAATCATCAAACTGACCTTTCCTTGACCCTGTCAGCAGAGGTCTGTACAGCTTATGCAAGAGTCCATGACATAATTTCATTATTTTAACTCCAGAAAAAACACCCAAGCAAGGTTGTTATTTACTATCAGACGTGGAGATTAAATTCAATTCCATCTGTTTCCCTACAGTACTGTATGTTGTATGAGGCCTCCTTCCTTTGGAGGCTACAGCAGAACTGTAGAAATACTAACATTTCCTTTATAACAGGCCTTGGTTGTGGGCCAGTAGCACTTGTTTCTATAAATCTTGAGCCAGCGCTATATGATAATCTGTTTCCTCTGCACTACGGTGTGTCTGATCAAACCAGGAGAGTCCTGGAAGACAAAATGCCTCTTTCCACTGATGAAGATCACTGCTGTCCTTGTCCTATAACCATTAACCAGCCAGAGAGAAAATCTGACCTTGAAACAGAGCTTTTTATAGCTCTGTGACCATCTGAGTAAGGAAGCATTGGCGACTTCATGTGCCTGAATGATGCTTTTCATCACATTCATGAAACACTTACTGAGACCAGCAATATGTTGCCTTTGGATGAAGGTAGGAAATAAAAGTAGCTGGAACCGTGTAGAATCCAAGGAAATAAATTCACATGCAGAGCAACAGAGGAAGAAGACTTTTATTTGTTTTTTAGTCACTGTGTCAACAGAAATACCCAGCTACTCTCAAAGCTTCTTGCCTGCTTTGCCTTGCTGCGTCTAGCCAAGACATTTTGCCTCTTGCACTGTAGCATAGAGCGCCAGCCCTCGAGAAAAAAAACAGTTACATTTATTTCACTACTCTCATGCCTTTGTCCTCACCAGAACAACTTGATCGTGTGGAGGAGGGCATGAACAAGGTGAACGCAGACCTGAAGGAGGCCGAGAAAAATTTAAAAGATGTAGGGCAATGCTGTGGTCTGATATGCCCATGTATTAAAAAGTAGGTACCGGCCAGGAGCCACGAGCTCTTGCCTGTCCAGTGCTGGTGGTGGTGATGTCTGATGTCTCTCTTGTCACAGTCAATGTCTTTTTTTGTCTCTTCTCCTTTGTCTCCCCCTCTCTACTCCCCTCCCCTTCCTTCCACCTGCGACTTCTTCCTCCTCTCTTCTCTTCTCATGTGCTTTCGTTCTTTTGCTGGAAAAAATGACAATGTGTTGGTAATCAGAACAACTGGAGCGCATCGAGGAGGGGATGGACCAAATCAATAAGGACATGAAGGATGCAGAAAAGAATTTGAACAATCTAGGACAGTTCTGTGGTCTATGTTCATGTCCCTGTAACAAGTAGGTGCTGCCTGTGTCGCCTGACTGCATGTGTTTCAGTGCCTGCCTTCCTGCCTTTCTATCCGTCTGCCTGCTTCTGGTGTATAGAGCATGGTGAACTGTGGTGTGAGGCCCATTGCCAACACACCCTCGGAACAGGCACCAGCACTGCATGATGTGTGGGTGTGTTTGGTTAAGTTAAGACTGAGATAAAGCGATGCATGCATGAACAACACACTCATCTGCACAAAAGGTCCGATGCCGCTTTACTTGCTCTCCAGCCTCCTTGGCTGTCGTCCTCAAAAGCCCTTCATTCCACATTGGATGAGAGATTCTCTTTCAGCAGGTAGCAGCATCAGCAGGGATCTGGGCCACAGCACCCAACACCCCCCTGAACCCCACCCGAGCCCCCACCCTAACACCCTGCAGCATGATGCCTCATGCTGTGTACACAATCCAACAAAATAGTATATCAACTAGTTGCCTTCCACATCAATGACTGATTTGAATTTTATCCATTTAGCTGCCATTTGGAAAACTATTAATGTTGGTGTTTTACATGTTTTTACATTAATTAACTGATTACGTGGGAGTATATTATGATGCTTTTAAAATCAAGCACATGACATGACAATTAGAATAGTCTGACATTTTGGAAAACGTGTTTAGTCTCTTTCTTGTGAGATTGATATGTATCTTTAGCTTAGCACAATAACTGGTAAACAGGATGAAAAAGCTAGTCTGGTCCATTCAAAGCTAACTAAATCCACAAACTACACCTCTAAAGCTCATTAATTAACACATTATATTTTATTTGTCAATATGTACACAAATCTAAATGCAAAAAAGGACACACTGTTGGTTTACAAGGGGTTATACGCCAGACTATTTCTTGGCCAACACTTACGTTTTTGGACGAATTAAACAAGATGTAGGCTTATTATTATTATTTTTTTTTACTTTTTCCCAGGCTAGCTGTTTCCCCTTGCATACTGCCTTCGTGCTAAGCTAAGCTAATTGGTGGGGGTTTCATACTTAACCTACAAACATGAAGGATCTTCTCATTTAAGTCTCCGCAAGAAAGCGAATAAGTAATGTTTCCCAGAAAGTCAGACTATTCCTTTAAGCATAATTTGTGGGTCCCAGTTTCTATATGTGATTTATTCTTGAATTTATGCTATTTTCTATTAATTTTTCAGACTGTGCATATGAACTGGTTACATTACAACCAGCTTTAATAAAGGTCAGGGCGTTCTCTGTATTGTAATTGTAATTACAGATGTGAAGGTGGTCAAATCTAAAAACGTATTAGCATTTTAGCACTTTGTCATCAAACACATACAGTAAAGATACATTGAGAGCTGCTAAAATGTCCATTTACTCTTCAACACACCAACTTTGGCACATGACCCTCAGAAAATGAGTTGTAATCGTAGGATGCTTCAATTGACCCCCGCCTCTCCTTCCTCAGGACAGTCCTACTTAATGGAACATCATACATGAGTGAGGCAAACTTGTTTCCTGGGCACACTTTACGTGCTATCATTTTAATATTGAAGAAACTAAAAGTACAAACTACATTTGTACTTTGAAAACTTTGATATAAACATGGATTCTCAATGCCGGTTTTGCCAAACTCCTGTGTGATCTGTTCTCTGGCCCTCAACAGCCATACTATGAGTTATGTCTGAGTGTACTATACTCCGGGACCAATACATGTACTGTATACAGTTGTCAATCTCAGAGCTATAGAAAACACAAGTGGCTGACAAACCAAGAGATAAATGGCTATAATGGTGAAATAAATGGCTATATTTTTGTTGAGTTTGCAGCAAGAGGTTTCTCTGATATTATTCTGGGGATGAATTAAGTGATGCCTTAATGATTTGCCGAATACAGTGAATGGAATAAAGTCAGGTGTTAGTGTAAAACGTGTCTTTTTGAGGAAAGTCTTAAACGGAACCAAAAAATTGTTCTTTGTTAGAGCTCACCAAAAATTGTACATTTCTTTTTCTTTGCCTTCACTGTGTGGTACCATATTTTTATATCCATTCTGGAGATTAAATACATCGGTAGACATTTTAACAACAGACACTTCCTTTCTTCAAAACAGGGCTGAACAGGATCTTGATAACTAATCTACTTTATTTGCACCACAGCCATCATTTTGTAGGAGTTGGTGTCAGTTTTTTTTAATAGTCACTACCTGATTTTGGATTGGTTTTTTTGTTTCCTGTATGAAGGTATTTGGTCCATTTTGGTCCTGCTTCGATATGTGACTGTTTTGGGTTCAGATCTTGTCTATTCTATAGCTCTTTGGTCCTCCCTATCATGAGCCACTTGTAATGTAATCCTGTGGTTGCGTCATGTGTTTCATCTGATCTAGACTCTTTATATGGGAGCCCTGGGTCAAATAGCATAAGAAAAATAATTCTTGCTTGTTGTTATAAACTGTATGGAGCACCTGATGGGTGTGGTTTACCACCTCAAGACAACAATGGTGCATACAGTAGTGGTCTTTCATTGAAAAGTGATCAAATACAACTTTAAATTGCTTAAATTTTGTTCCTTGTCATGTCCTCGGTGGTGACCTCAACTCATCAGATACTCCAAACATTATCAAACAAATGCTAAGAATTACATTTGCCTATTTGACTGTATACAGTGTATCATCCTACAGATTGATCCATCCAGATGAAATGAAGGGCTGATCACAGCTACTGTATTACTTAGTCCTGCATGCAAAATGATCACCGTTCACTTTGGGGTTTTTTTTTGGTTGGTTTTCCACAACTGATCTAACTGTTTGGCTTTCTTTTACTAGATACACAATGTGTCTGACCCTGTTCCTCTTTACATGTTTTCCCTTCCCATGTCAAACATTGTGTACTATGTTTCTTCATATCCTCTGAATCTGCATGTTTCTATGTGTGTGTGTGTGTGTTTGTGTCTCCTCTGTCTTGAGTCTGGTTATTATGTTCTGTGTTTGTGCTCTTTTGTATGAGCTTGTGGGAGATGGTTTCCAGAGTCTTTAAAGGAACTTAATGACTTTCTAACACAAGCCACATACTGCATGAGCTTATTGTGCTCAGATTCAATTGATCTGCATGTTAGATCAATTATTCACTAACAGATTGCAAATGCATGTATGTAAGTTTATCATACGTGGCTGGCATGTTGCTTTTAGTAGGCCAATTGGCTTGACACCATATTATGCAATGCATTCTAAACATATATTCATGGAAAGTATATGTTTTAATAGTGAATTGCCATAAAACATGCACTTACATAGACATGCATATACACATTCACACTGTAGCACACGCAGTGTCACACAAACTGACCGGTGTGTACTCCGATGCACAGCCACCATACACCTGGTTACATTCAGAAACGAGTAAACAAGTGCAGACACATACATACACGTATGAATACATTTATACAGACACACACACACACACTCACACAAACACAAGCACTCAATACAATAGTTACGCTGGCCCTGACTGAAATGTGTGTGTGGTAGGATTAAGGGCGGGGGCCAGGCCTGGGGAGCGAACCAAGATGGAGTGGTGAACAGCCAGCCAGGGGCTCGAGTAATGGACGAACGTGAACAGATGGCCATCAGTGGGGGCTTCATTCGCAGGTAAGTGTGTGTTTGTGTGTGTGTAGGCGTTGGTCTGTGTGGGCCCCTCTGTGTGTGTGAAGCTAACATACTAACTTGTTTCCATGTGTCTGCATAAATGCTTGTGTATGGTTGTTTTTGTCTGATAATACTTTTCTAATTCTCAAAAAACTTGTTTTGGAATAGGTTGCAAATTTATGTAGCGGGGCTCCTGTTTAATCATCTTGTGACCCTCAGATCTATCTTATGAGCTGTTAGAGGGGTCCCGGAATCTATGAGTAATACTATGACCTGATTCAATTCCTCACAAATTATCAGGGTTTCTACCTCCTGCTGAGGTTTTTCAGTTCCTTGAAAGACAGGACTCTCAAAGATTGATGTAAAGGGCTGTCCATGGTACTGAAGCAGGCCATGTGGTACATAGATAAAGTTATTTTATCCTTAAATGTCACAATACTTGAATTACAGAGACACTATGATTTACTGTTTCACTTAAAGCATATTGTATCTACTCATAGTGTACCATACTGTTTTGTGAGGCTGTAATAGATCAAAAGCGTATCTGGTCAATAACCAGTCCCACTTCCTCCTCCTGTTCCAGGGTAACAGATGACGCTAGGGAGAATGAGATGGATGAGAACCTGGAACAGGTGGGCGGGATCATTGGTAATCTGCGTCACATGGCCCTGGACATGGGCCAGGAGATCGACACCCAGAACCGCCAGATCGATAGGATCATGGAGAAGGTACTGTGCCATGAGCACTGCAGTAGAGAATATCAGAGTGTAATTGGTGGGAAAGGTTGCATTAATTCGGAACAATTGCATGATTTTAATCTGGTTGCCTCTTCACCATTTCAAATTCATACTTATTGATGGCAAAAGTCAGTTTCAGTCGTTACTAGGCAATAGCCTGAGTAACATTTAATCCAAGGTGGGCACCAATAGTGCCAATATTTATTACATTTAGTATGATGCTCCAAAATCTTGGCAAAGTGGAACTAATATGGAATTACTGAACTACTTGTGGAACTACAATGTACAAAGGACCAAGGAAAAAATACACTTTTGTTGTATTTATGAAGAAAGATTATAATGAGGCCACAAGGAGCACCAGGTTTTTAAGATTATTTTGTGAATAGACCATTTACTGTATAGGCTTATTTGTTTTAATGCTAGGAGAAGGTATGGAAAGCTATGGGGACAACCACAAAGTAGTTAGAGTTACACATTTAGTTAAAGTCATAAATTGGGAGATTAAAAATGAAATGTCAGCACTGTGGGTAAAGTAAGTACATGAAAGGCACCAGATCTAGAAAATGTTTTAGTATTTAGCTGATATTTAGCATGGATTACATACTCAGCATTAGGCTATGTAATAGCAGATTCAGCTGTGCTGACTGCAGATTTAGCCTGGGTTTTCACACAGTAATGGAGAAAATCTGATTCACGTGCCAGTTGACAAAATCTGGGCGTTAAACATATCAATTGTGCATTTTGTCCATTAGGTCAGTGTGTATGTCTTCATTAAAGGATACATCCCCTTAAATTTGGCCATAGGGACTTAAGGGTGTGCTAACCTTGTGCCTGAATCATCCATTATGGCTAAGTACATAGGGATCTATATCCAGGTCAACTTGACCGCTGACATAATCGCCCTGAATATTTGTGAGAAAATACACTAGGTTGAAATAAGCTGAAAATAACTCATCCCCACCCTTTACCATTGGTTGTATCACATTTTCTAACCAACTGCTAGCTGAGTTGTGTAACAGCTAGTGCTTTTCTCTTTCAGGCTGATTCCAACAAGACCAGGATTGACGAGGCCAACCAGCGTGCTACAAAGATGTTGGGCAGTGGCTAAACTGCAGCGAAAAAGTGCTTTCATCCCTGTTTATCCCCATCACCCAAAAAATAACAACACCGACCAAACCCAGCCCCCAGCACCAACACCCAGCGCCCACTTCCTATGCTCGACAGCAGGCGCTGCAAAATCATGCTTTTATTGTGAAACTTGTAGAGGTTTGCACACATGCACATATCATACATCCCTCTCCCCCTCTCAGTGCTGTCCATCACTTCCCTCTGTCTCTCCCCTCCCCTTGTTGTCAGTGTTGTTCTGTGTTGTTGCTCTTTTGATTTTGTTAAGAAATAATAGTTCTGTCACACATCATCCACTCAAACTCTCTCCACACTGTACATAGTGCTTCTTAAATGGCTTCATTGATCTAGATCATTTGACCTGTTTTCTTCATCACTATTTTTTTTAAGTCTGTGTGTAATATAAACTGTATGTACACCTTGTTCCAAGATGTCCTTCCCCCATGTCAGTATTCTGGTGTTGTCCATGTAAGACACACTGTGTATTCATCAGTTAAGATGTTGTGATGCTACATGATAAGGCCACAGTGATTTGCCGTGAATATAGTAAACATATCCTCACAACTTGTAAGCAAGGCTACTGTTTAAATACAAAGTCATTTAATGTAGATGTGGAGCCACTGAGATCTTAATAACATAGTAGACCATGGATACTCACTTACATGTCTGTAAGTATTTAAGCCATTTGGACGAAAATGTGGCTTTTTGATCCTGACTGTTAGGGTATTTTACCAACTCTATTGATGGAGCAGTATTAACGCAATTTGATGCCACTGATTGTATAGTACGTACCTTTTCCTCAGGGAGCTAAATCTGACGATTCAAAAGCAAGGGTTGAATATTGAAATAATTTGTTGTAATTCATAAAAAGCTTTATCATAAGGCTCAGTGTATAAGCAAATATTTGCATTTGTTGTTGAGACTCTTGCTTAACCATCAGAAAAATATCGGGCATTAACCATAATAACCAAATAGAGTACCACATCGTGATTGATAATGAAAGGAGGTGGAGCTTTGTTAGAGGTCAGCAGCAACCAATTCAACTGTTACAGGGGGGTCAACAACCTCTTCACATACCAGACCCAGACTGCTTTTACCCATGATTCAACCCTAGCAATATCAAGTAGCGCATTAAGTGTGTTATGCATGTCCATCCGCTGCTAGAAGACACTGAATAATTCAAATATCCTAACATGGCAACCGCATGCTACATATGTAGGCCACACAGAGGAGAGGCCCATATTTATCTGCAATAGTGCCACTCTTTTTGTTTCATGTCTCTCTACCTTTCCAGACTGTGACCATCACTGTAAATTAATACCTTGGAAAATGCCAATAAAACCATCATAACTGTAGAACCAAACTGAGTTTCCTTTATACTTTTATGGCTTTCAATACTGTTTGTGCTAATATTATGGTTGTGTGTAACTCACCAGGCTGAGCGGACAATTAGAGTAATGCATTGTAATTTTTATTTTGAACTGCAGAGACTGGAAGACTTAGTAAAAAAAGGTGGGTTTTTAAGTAACCTATTTCTACTCATGTTATGTTGACTGTTCTAATTTAAAGGAAATTGTGTCAACACAGTGATTTCCTTCACTGACAGACAGGTGACAGTTGTTAGGGGATTTTAATCTTCATCCTCCACAGAGTCACATGACCTAGTTTTATATAAGAAAAAAGATATGTTATTATGGACAGTAGATTTGTTTACCCCGTAAAGCCTTTATTGTAGGTAAATAAAATAAATTACCTCACAAGTTAACATAAGGTAACATCATGGTATAGTTCAAGAACATGTGTTTCTCCTGCATCCGCCCAAGGGGAGGTGAGAGGTCAGAGAGCTTATCTTAACTACTTGTAAGTTGTTCTAAAACTGGCTGGCTAAAATATGCAGTGTCGGGGCAGATATTTACAGCACTAGTGTGTAGCATGGAAGAAAATAAAAGACAGACATGACAGGGAGGGACAGAGAAGGAAAGATGTGCAGTGGCACATTACACTAATGGACATTACTGTGGTGCCCATGGGCTTAGGGCGGATTAGAGTTTACCACGTCACTAAGAACCCTGACACACACACACACACTCACACAAACTTGAATCAACAACAGATACACACGACAGGGTTATCTGCTATACCTTGTTTATATCCATTACAAGGCCCCTGTACATGTGTGTATAAAATGGATGACTGTTATCATCCATGTTATCAACATTAAAAAATTCTACATATACGATTATGTGTGGTTTATTAAATAGAAATAAATTATTTTCCCCCTAAAATAATGCTTTGGGATTGAATATGTCATTTATTCAGCTCCCTACCTGCACTTACTATAAAAGTTATTTGCTTCTGGACCGGTAATACAAACTTTGTACAAGCGTTGGAGAGTGTATTTTTAGACCAAGAGCTCCCTCTGCTGGTATTATCCGCCCATATACTGAATTTTCTTGTTCTAGCTGGGCAGTGATGTTAAAGGGCCACTCCACCAATTTTACACAAACTAATATGTTGGTAATATTAATAATAAGGTGAGAGCCAGGTCCAGTTCAGGATGTTTCCTTTACCTTGATCGTCACAAAATGATAGTTGCACCAAATAAATTTACTTTGAAGAAGCCCCAAACTCCTTTTTTTTTTACAGATATCTTTGTGGCAATAGGATGTAATGGATGTTCAATTACTTGGCTCTCATAAACAATTACAGATGTCTGAAATGTGTTGGGAAGGGTTCTAAAGAAATGTCAGAGCAGAATAAAAAAAAAGTATGTCAGTTAATGTGAAGGCCTGTTTGACGGCAACTCACGATCAGTGCTTTTTAAACATACTAATACAGAGCACAGAATAGTGTTGTTGCAGTAAAGATAGTGACTTTCAGTGTTATTCCTTCACAGATTGTATTGTTTATTCATGTAAAAGCACATTTATTGTCCTTCTGTTGAATTGAGTTAACGACACGTAGATATACTGAGCAAATAAATATGAAAAATTAATTCATATTAAATTAGACAACAAATATTTAAAATTATTTTCATGAATATATATAATTTATATTTTAAAAAACGGTCGAACCGAAGTTGTACGTGGTCAATGAACAGACCTATCAGCAGCTTTGACGTAGAAACCCTCGGCTATCTCCGTCAGTCACGTGACCCTGATCCTCGTCATCTTCGTGTTTATCCGTCCACTGTCTCTTCAGCGCGGTTAGCAGCAGCACCACTGTGGTACCATGTTCCGAGCCGTGTTCCGACTGTCAGCCACTGGAGCCCGGAGTCTGGCTCGGTCACGACCCTGCTACTCAGGTAGGACTGTCCGCTTTACGCCTGCCGGGAATTTGAGTTAAATAACGCTACTCTCTGTAATAGAGATGACCACAATGAGCTTCCCCGGCTAGCTGCCTAGCTTAGCCACTACCGTTTGTGTGTGTGTGTGTGTGGCTAAAAGCTAGCTCTGGGTGACATTGACTTATTTTTATGCGTAGTCAACCTTGTGGTCTTAAACTGAATATTTTCAATAATTTCCACCATTCATAGAGTGTTTTCAATAAAGAGGCGCGAAATGAATCCTAGTAAAAAATGTCACGACCTTGTGATGACCCTCCTCAGTTAGTTGAAGAGTGTCAGTGGCCGCAGTTTATACGCAGCTGATATCAACACGTTGTGATGTCTAACTCAGCTCTTTCACTGTGTATACGGCTACATATTTAAAATGTGCACACCATTTACTGTCGAAGTCTCAGTTAACGTCGTTAGTGAACTGTTATTATGTTCCTCCAGGTGAGCTGTCCTTAACTCAACCCGTAGTCAGTCGCTGCTGGATATGGACAGCTGTGCAGACTGCGTTACAGCTGTTTCAATCCACTCTTACTTCAGATTATAACTTGTGTGTCTATTTTTTATTTTTAAAATATGAGTTGAATAAGATGCATTTGATAGTGTCAGTGTGATATGATGGGTAGATGACGTAGAAATGAACTTGGATATGGTGCACAGAAAGAAACCCCATGATAACAGCCTGTGTGTGTGTGTGTGTGTGTGTGTGTTAGGACATTACTTTTGTGTCAGATAAATTATGTTTGAAATAAGCAATACTTTACAAATCTGTTTTTTTCTTTTTCTGGGTTTTATATTTAAATGTCAAGTTATTGAATTGGATGTATGGTAGAAGTCACATGACTACTGTTTCGGTATTTACAGAAACTGAAACCAACCTCATAAACGCCTTTAATAAAGCTGTATCTTCTTCACAGACCCACAGCACCAACCACTATGATGAAGGCAGTGTAGCTGCTGTAACTTAACGGGCTAAATCACCGCTATTGTGCATTTCCAAAAGACAGTCTCTGTTCCATATTTAGCACATGCGTTGGCTCCACTTTGTGATTAAGCTTTGAAGGATTAACTGTACAGTGTGCACTTTTCACAGTGTCATTGTGGTACTCTGTGTCTGCGGTATTGTAGTTTCCTTTTAGGACGTTTTGTAGACTGTTGTCGACTACGCTGACAGACGTACACATTAATGTGTATAATATGAATATAGCATTCAATATGTTGTTATTGCTGCTTGTTATCTTGATTATTTACTGTTTAGTTTGGATACATTTTGGATTAAACATTTTTACACATCGATTTAAGTGTTGATCCTTGACTTTTTTAATACCCACAGAAATGTGACGGACGTGCGAAAATAGTATTGAAGGTTCGCACAGAATGCCTGGCAAAGTCATAATTTTGCTTTCTTGTTAAATGAGATGTTTATTCATTTAAACCAAAACGTGGCCAATTTTAGATATGCAGGCTTCTTGTATTGCTGCCTGTGTTTGGCTTTAAAAACAAACAAAAAACGGGGTTATAGAATGCAATTAATTTATGTCTATATTATTATGTTCTTGTATTTTTATATAAGTCCAAGTTCTTAAAATGTATTGTATTGTCTCTAATATTTAAGAACTTCACAGAAATCTCTGTCTGCCTCATGTTTTCCAGCTCCATTAGCCACTAGATGTTACTCCCATGGCAAGGTGGAGACAGACGAGGAGTTTGATGCCCGTTGGGTCACCTACTTCAGCAAGCCTGACATTGATGCCTGGGAACTGAGGAAAGGTGACTGTTGACCATTTCTGCTTTTCATATTCGGATGATGTTTCCACAGCCCTTTGTTTCTGTGTGTTATGGTTTTAGATGGGGTTAATTTGAATATCATGCCAGTCTAACAGGGTTCCCGCAGGGTCTTAAAAAGTCTTAAAAGCATTGAATTTATGAATTTGGAAATAATACCTTAAAAAGACTTGAATTTTGATATCTGGGTCTTAAATTTTGTGCTGTATGTAACTTCTCCGTATCGCATTTTAATTTGTCAACCACTATTATTTTGATCAATAAGTTATATCAGACGTATGCTAAAGGGTAACATTTGGCCCATTCTATTTCTAATTCCATGCTGTCCAGCAGTGGTGGTGCTTGGGTGTAATTTTCACTGAAAGAGAGATATATATATATATATATATAATATATAGTATATTATATATATATATATATTATATATATATATATATATACTATAATATATATATATATATATATATATACCCATCAACTGTCCATCAAATATTGCCTTTTCTCTGGTTTTCTCTTACAGTTTGTATTTGCTCTTCTTCTTCTGTTGACTCATAAGGCTTTTCCATTCATTTTAACCTACAGGCATGAACACCCTAATTGGGTACGACCTGGTACCCGAGGCCAAGATCCTGGATTCCGCACTAAGGGCTTGCCGGAGACTGAATGACCTGGCCAGCGCCATCCGCATCCTTGAAGCCGTTAAGGTGAGCAACCGTCCCTTCATAGATTCACTTAGGGTCTGAACTTTGTTTTAGTGGGGAGTGTGACTCCCGACAGAACCAAAAGCTTGAACAGTTAACTAGTGCAGAGACAAATCATAAACGTCCACATTTTAAGTTCAAATTGTCACGTTACATGTGTAGAAATACACAATATTACATTTAACACATATATTTATAGTTAAACAAATTAAATAAAAACAGAATGCAACACTCCTAATAGCAAGTTAATCACTAGATTATAATCATTACTTAACTGCTGGCTGCCTATCAGAATGTTTCTCATTTGTTGTGTTTTGCAGGACAAAGCAGGCCCCCACAAAGACATCTATCCCTACCTGATCCAAGAGCTAAAGCCCACCCTGTCAGAACTGGGCATCTCAACACCGGAAGAGCTGGGCATTGACAAGTTATAGACTGTCAAGGTGAGACCGCACTGTGCCATCTTATTGCATGTTACTTGATGTGGCATCAAAAAGAGCCTACTTTATGAATGCAAAGTAGATCCTGAATTATATTGCACATTACTTGCTTGCAGCTAAAAAGATGTGTTTTTCCCTCTTTCCTCAGGTCATTTGATGCATAAAGAGAAGAACTCTCCTGATTCTCACCTGTCAAATATGTCTATATTGTTGATTAAATCCATGCTGTCCTGTTGTGTACAAAATGGTGGACCTAATAAAGAAAACCAATAATTCAAGGATGTGTGTCAGGTGTGTTTGTTTCTATAATGACATTTTTACTGCGACATTTTGACTCACCATAGCAGGAAAAGCACAGATGTCAATATTAGGATATTAAGGCCTTCCCTGCTAACATAGGTCCGCTCACTGGCATAACTTACTGGGCTACTTTAATAGAATGAAGCCAACAATCAATCTTCATCTGGATCCTCCTAGCGCTCCTTAATTCATTTGCAAGAATCCACCAGCCCTGACCAAAAACAACCAACTAGAGCCAAGAAAGATGGAAATATGCTTGAGGCTTAAAGATAGTTGATTATTGAGTCTGATTCCCAGCATCAATATTTGACATGGAAACGAGACTCAATAAACTCTCTTTCTTGGCTCTGGCTGGTTGGTTTTTGTTCAGGCCCAGAGGATTGTTGCAAATACCATTAGGAGCACTAGGATGAGACAGAGGAACCACATCTTTTCACAGATTATCTGTCTCATTTAATGCTGTCAGGAAATAGTGGAAATTAAAGGAAAACAAAGACAAAAAGTGATGTACCTACTGCAGCCTTAAGCACAACCAAATAGTACAAGAGTGTTTGATCTGTGTAGCCTCTGGGCATCATTAGTGTGTAAAAACCTTTTCCAGTTGATTTCAGTAGTAGACTTGAGGTAAATGAAGACGGCCTTCACAAAGCAACAACCACAGATTTTCTTCTCTCATCCACCAGATGGCGTCATTAAACAGGAAGCAGTTGAAGCATTATTACCACATATACCCTACTATGGAAAATATTAGCAGGGGACAGTCTTCGTAATGTTTAATTATTATTTTCATTTGCTACCAAGTATAACGTGTTTTAAAAGGAAGTCACATTTGATCGTTACTTTTGTCACAATAGTGAGGTGAAACTGAGAAAATTCTGCTGCACAAAACCAAACATCGTAGTTGAATAATCGTACTTCTCTGATAGCACATATCAATGGATGCATCATAACACATAACTTTTACTAAGCACAAAACGCAAGGGGGTTTTATTTTGAAGGGTTTTCCCCCCGGAAGTAGTGTAAACCCTGTCACTGATAGCACAATAGCATAGCTAGCCGACAGAAGTGCCTGTGCTCCCTGCTTCTGAGGGAAACTACAAAGTCCTGCGCCGGTGGGACACCTGTCATCATGGCTGTGTTGGGCTTTAAATTGTGACAACTGACGACAAGATGATGAACGACATCATGGAGGAGCCAGAGAAGGACACCCTGCTGGAAGCACAGCCGGAAACTCAAGCTCTGTCGGTAATGTCAGCTACAGCTAGTGCGGCTAACGCTAGCTGCTTCATAGAAAGTGGAGGGCCAGCTGTTGTTGAGATGATTGACAGCTGTTCTGATGAGACATGATATAAAAGCAAGGTCGACAGGGTACTCTTTAAGTCGTTAGGGACTGCTCAGTTTGACTGTAATGACATGGCATCATTGATGGTGTGTAATTGTAAAATCTCTTCCTGTAAAACGAAGGGGCTGCTGGGAAAGTTTTCGACATCTAATGTTGGTGAATTCTGGGATTTACCAGACAGCAGAGTTGAGCTCATACTACAAGAGATAAACCAATAAAATGTTATACATACATACAGGTTGACTGAGTGGTTTTAAAGACGTTTGAAACCCCCTTAAAACTCTACTGTCTTGTTATTTAGCTATCACAGCTTGTCCTTTAGTTATCATATTACCATTCCTGAACATGAAATACCGATTATCCCTCACTTCTGCAACGCCAGGGGCCCAGTAGTGGAACAAGACCTAAGACCACTGATGGAGGAATCAGGCCTGTGGAGAAAAGAGGACCTTACATCATGTCCAGAGCTCCAGCAATCCACCTCAAACTACGTAAGCATTTTCTTGACCCAACATAACCAGTGACATAAACAGATCACTTCTCTGCGTGTTTGTGGGTCATGAGTTTTCTCCTGACTGTTGTTTTTATGAGTTCAGCTGTGGTTCATACTGACGGCTGAAGAGGGGTGAAAGAGCAGTTAGCCACACAGTCACGTGACATTGATGAGCTAAGGCGCTCGCAGTCTGTTCATATAGAAAGCAGTCCACATAGTCAGCTATTCCTAATGTAGTTCAGTGCTTGCATCCATCACATCTAAGATACTATGTTATGTATATCAGAACATTCTGCTCGAGTCTAAGCTGTAAATGTATCGGCAACAAGAACATCTACAGAAAAGACATTCCTATGTGAAGCCAGGCAAATGTCATGCATATGGAGGATTTAAAGAGATGATGTTGGGTTTCATGCACGGTAAATCTGGCAATCTGTCATGTGACATTGGTGAGACGCATTGCAAAAGACGCATGACATGTTTCACAAACTCTTTTGGTCTCTGGTGCACACTCAGTACTATAATAGGAAAGGGAAATGAAACAGTCTGAGTTTATCCAGTTGATTTCTGAAACCTCTTCGACTTTTGTCATCTAATCATTTCTGTTGAACCCAACCTGAACAAATGTACACACAATATTTGATTTAATCGGAGAACATAAGTGGTCAGGTGATGGTTATCCCTGATCATAATACATTAGTTAGAATTTATCTAATTTTATCATAGAACTCTTGTACTTGCAGAAAAAATAACATCTTAAAATGATGCATATTTTGTTTTTTCTGTGGTATAGAAGTAATGTATTTTATCAACTCTCCAAAGCAAGGAAAGACCTCCTCAGTATCCTCCATGGTGTAGGAGGACTGCTTTAACCTGTTAATATTCCTAATAACAGGCTAATGACAGGACCAGCATGCGAAAACACGTAGAAAAAGCTTTTACGTTCTGTTTTAAAATAACAACAATCTTTAAATGTATTGATTAGACTTGAACTCCTAGTAAAGAAATTTTCAGCTCAGGTCTTCAGCTACAGACAAGTACTCTTTCAAGATATGTTGTTATTAGCTCAATACATTTCTAATGCGACCTTTGCTTTGATCACCATCCAGTCAGGCCTATCCGACACAAACACGTCTCTTCTTATTCGCAGAGAAACACAGGGAGATGGCGAGGAAAGCACTGAAGAAGAAAGCCCTCTCACCAGGACCTCCAGTGATGCATCAGCCCAGACAAGGAGTTAAGAGGTACGGAGGAAGAGGAGGCTGTTTTTTTTGTTGATGTCAGCATGAGATGTTTGTTCTGAGCAGTATTTACAGTTTATGGCTTCCCTTTTAGGACGGTGAAGTATAACAAGGGCTACGCTGCTTTGAGTCAGCATGCCGAGGACAGTTTGGTTGCTCTGGACTCAGACAGGTAAGGTTACAGCAGGTATACAGGTGATGGTGTTGTTGAATACTTTATGCAATAAGGAAAGTTATGACAAGCGATTACTCTTTTTATGTGTTTACGTTTATGCAGCTATAATATCATATCACTTAGACATTTACCAGTTCCAGTTAGAATTTGGGAGTCTTTAGAGCTCGGTTGTTCCTAAATATATTTCAGGTTGACACATTTAAATTGTTTCACTCAAAATGACAAAACCCTTTCCTCCTTTCAGTGATGAAGAGATCGATTTTGAGCAGTATTCCTCAGGATACTCTTCAGCTGAGGTGAGTTAGCTCTACAGGACCTTCTTCAGATGCTCTGAGAATCACACTTACCGCCCAGTCTAACCTGGCTGCCCTTGTGTATATATCCAAAGATAATTTGGGTTATTATCAATTTTGTGACTTTGAGTAATCTGTCACTAATGCATCGGTTCGGCTTGTCAGGTGAACTTGCACTTCACCTCGCAAAACCTTCACAATGCAAATAGTTATTTAGTACCAGTCGAGTAAATAAAATATGTCTATGATTTAAACAAAAACAAAAAGGTCAATTATTTGATGTGTGATATTGTATATGTTTGTTGTTGTTTGTATGTATATGTTTTTGTGTTACGGTCTAAATGAATTACTTATTTGCATTTTCCAACTAAAGTAAATATGTAAGAGGTTAAAAGGAACTGGTTTCCATTTAGAACTGGAGCCAGAGATTATCTGTGTTTGCATGCATTCACATATGTTGTAGGAACAGTATCTACTGAGTGGCTGTCAGAGCAAAGGATATGCCTCTGGTTATTTCTTGATCTCAGATATGTAGCCAGGGTTGTTCACTCTACATTTTAACAGAGCTTAAGTCCAGTCTAACTTGTTTTCTCACATATTTAAGATAGATACATAGATACTCACTCGTTGTGTGTTTGTTCTGTTTTTAAATATAACATTGTCTTTTCACATTAGAAACTATTTTGGCAGCAAAGTAGAGTGTAACTGCCACAATTACACATGTAACATGTAATTTAGGACCATAAAGAAGATCATACTTTGTCCTCAGTATTTGACAAGGCAAAACTATTACAAATCTATATTTAGTTTGACAAGTTAGTTTCACAGCAACAAGCACAAGAAATCCTGGGGTATGAAAAGGTCCCTATGAACAGATTAACCAGAGTGAGTTGTCCACCAGGTTTAGCCATTTTACTGTGATAAGTGTGTGTGTTAGTGAGGTCCTCTTTGCTCTCCAGGTGCATCCTGATTTAAGCAGGCAGCTGCTTCAGGACGGCTACCGTCTGGATGAGATCCCCGATGACGAGGACCTGGACCTGATTCCGCCCAAAGCCCTGGGCTCCTCTGTGTGCTGCTGCTCCGAGAGCCCGTCTTGCTCCATGCAGTGATGTCAGTGCAGTGACTCGAACCTTTAAAAGGCTTGGCTCCAGCTCCTGTCCCTGACTTTAGTCACTGGTGCCTGAGGCCTTCTTTCTAACCCAGGACCACGGTTGTGCTGCCTGTGGACTTCCAGCTTTGAAGCCAAACTCCTCCTCCGTTTGTGCAGGACCGCGTGCACTGAGAGCGCTCGAACACACACAAAAACACGGAGGGACATAAGAACAAGCCTTATCCACTGTGACCCCAAAGCTTGACGTATTTTTTTATTTTTCTTCTTTTTATAGAACTACATCAAATGCTAATGATGACAGTGCTCCAAACGGAGTGGCAGAGTAATCATCTGGGATATGTCGTCGTTGACCCAATACAGAGCTGGTTACCTTCTTTTCCGCTCTGGTGAACAGGTCTACAGCCCTCTGAGCGTGACATGCACACACGTATGGTGTGTTTTAATGTTCTGGCACTGAGAGTTAGAATTTCCTAGTTATCCCTTCACCATTCCCTGACTACTGTTGCATTAACTGGCTATTCTTTAACTTCATCTGTTCTCAAATAACAGCTTCCATTTATGACACCTTATATGAAACCTATTCCAATATGACAACAATAACAACCAGTAGGATATATTTTTTATTATAAAGCAGAGCACTGAATTGAAAATGGATACACAGTATAGTGATTGAGTGAAACCACTTCATTTCTTTATGGCTTATGTGTAATGATAGTTATTTATGTTGCTGTCTCATAAGCCTGAAATTATGTGTAGAAGATGAGCCTGGCCCAGGATTATGTTCTACTGGTTCCATAGTTTTTGTGTTTGAGAGGACAGAGTTGTACAGGTACAAGTGGTCAACAGCTACATACCAAGAAAGACTCACTGATCCTCTGCCTGTAGGAGATATACTCGGAGAGAAAAGCATGATGAAAAGTTACAAAGCTACAAAGTTATGGACTGTTTGAAAGAGTAATACACCTGTTGTAACTGTTACACTGCTGCATATGGCACGAAATGTAAGCAGACACGTTACTTTAATGCTTCAATAGATGAACCAATGACATTCTTACAATCTCTGTATTGTAGAAATAAGATTCATTCCAGTAACCAGAAAAAAAAATAATATTATAGACTTAAAATCAAAATACATTCCCACATAAGTCATCTGAAGACATTTGTTTATGTGTTTAGATTGGCACATGTTTCTAATTTAAATTCTAAGTGTATTGATATGCTTTAGAAAACAATTTGGGATGGATAGGAAGAATTCAAAAATATATTTACATTCATTTCTTTGTTGTTTTACCAGGATGGATATGTAGCATTTTGGAATAGAACCCTGTCTAGGATCTGATAACTCATCTGTAACACTTCAGAGTGTTTTATTTATTTATTTACTATTATATTTGTTGGGGACACTAAACTAGTTGTAACAACAGGTTAAAAACAGTAAACCTGATTTACATATTTCAGTTTAAACTATGTTTGAATTGATTATTTTGTGTTATAAAGTGTCTTTTGTCTCCTACTCAACAGACACATGGATGTGCTGAAAATGGCAATCCTTAGTAATATATATATATATTTCTAGATTATTTTCTTTTCTTTTTCCACAAAAAATATATCAGTTCATTTATGTTACCGTCTGGGTCATATTTTACTATTAATTGATGGTGTTTATTTTGAAATTGTGCATTAACGAAATGTCCACCATCAGAGTAAGTGACAGTGATCACTTTCTCAGGAGATATGTGTGCGTGTGTGCAACTAGAAATGATTTGCTTTTCACATAATGTGTAAAAAACTAAAATTGCACAACTGTTTAAGTGCATAGAGGTTTCAAGTCAGGATAATTGTATGGCTGCTGTTTCACTTAACCTGCAGACCACACTGTTATTTCTCATGCTGTGATGTTGGTTGTTAAAAAAGGCGTAACTCTCGCTCATATATATGAATGGGATAGCAGACCACTTGACCACCATAAAGAAGTTGAGGACTGGAAAGAGTAGGAACCTTGATTTGTCCTTCACAGTCGGGATCAATTCACACATTCAAATTCAGGAAGCTGAATTTTCTTGAAACCTTTGCAATGGAAATGTTAAAAAATGTTACATTCTTTACACAAGTAATGTACAGTATCTCCTCACAGCAGTCTGTGGTTGTAATGTGGGTGATTTAGGAGTAAAAGCTGATTCTACTCTTTCACTAAGTGTGAGTCACTTGATACAAGTGTGAGGTAAATGCTTTAAATGTAACAGCTGAATTTAAGGTGTGTTGACCCCGGCCCTGGCTCTGCACGATGTTTTTATGTACACTAGTATTGCACTTAACACCAGTGGTCAGTAGCAAGTACACTTGACTCACCTGTACTATGCAACTATTGGGACAATCTGCTTGTTATACAACAATATAGTGTTACTGAGTGCTAGAGGCAATAACTTAATTATTTTATAATTGTAAACACTAGTCTTTTTTTATTTGATTGTACTGTTTATTGGTTTACATAACTAAATAAAAGTATTATCTATACTTTCATGTGTATGACTGATTATTATTATTATTAGGAACCATTTCCGGTAGTGCTTGTGTAAGGAGGTAGTATGTCAGTGGAGCTAATCGATTATGTAAATGGTTGTATGTATGTGGCTGATAAATAAAGGATTGTGAAGGCGGTGGTCGTTGATTCCACCAGGGGGCAGTGTGGAGCTGTGCTGCCTTCACTCATACTCACTGTAAGGTGCCTGTCATCTAAACATTGCATCATAATTACTGCTATAGCATTCAGATAAAGATGTGATACTGGGAATAGGGCATGTGTAACTAAAACATCAAGTATCTGGAATATTTAACTAGAGACCAGTCTAAAATATATATTTTTATATAAAT